TGTAAATCTTCCCATTGCATTTCTTCTTTAACTTTCAGATTTTTAATAGCTTTTGTTGTATTGGAACCTTGTCTTCTGAAATATGCCAGCCTTCTAAAATATTGTAAAGATTCAGGATTATTATATCTTTCCATGAATTTTTTATCGCAAAGTTTGATCCAATCATCATTATTCATACTCCAGTTTCGAATATCATCCTTATCTCCAATATTATCTAAAGCATATGTTCTCCATAAATAATATCATTGCAGGATCATGTTATCAGCAAAAGAACATTCAGGATTTAGCTTAAGTATTTCAGCTTCATTAGGATTGATATCTGGAGCATTAACTATTAATTCTGCATCTTCACCTTTAATTAATTTCTTAGTATTCTTAATAGTATGAGATACTTCTGTATGAGAAGCTTTGGCTAATTTGGTATCTTCTACTGCGATTAATTCTAGCAATGCTCCAGTACTAGTAATCAAACTATAAAGAATTTCTGAAAAATATTTGGCCAATAAGCGTCTCTAATATTCAACCTCAATATAGGTTTCTACTGCCAGAGATGAATTAAGTATATAACAGTCAGTGATTTTGTTCCATTCACGGTGCTCCTTTATTGCAGTTAGTAAATCTCCAGGTCTTAAGGCTGAAAGTTCTACACGAATAAGATCACAATTTGGTTCTTTAAAAATCTCAGAATGTGTTTTATTATTGTAAAGAGAAACAATATGATACGGGTAATCACAAGTTCGATAAAGCATCTGAGTAAATGCTTCAGCATGTACTCCTATTTTAATATTACTAATTGCTATAACTGCATCAAAATAGTTAGGAATTTCGAATGAGATGTCTGACTCCACAGTACTTATATAGATTACATAATCAAGGCCACTCCAGATAGTATTAATATTAGCAAAGTCATCCTGGTATTGTTTTTCATCCATTTGACTAAAATAAACACGTGACAAAATAAATGAACCATTTGATTTTTGCAACTTAGATGCTTGATTAGCTATTACCCGAGCCTTTTTGCAGGAGATCATTGAAAAGACAACATGCTTATCTTCTTTAAGCATCTCAAGACCTTTACATATAGTTTCTGAGCCTTTATTTAAATCATAAAGGATTTTTACAGTCTCACTTTTATGTGGCTGATACTTATTATCAAAAACTTGGATGTTTTCACTCTGGTATTATCTTAAGAAGGCTAAAGTTGACTCATTTGCAAAAGCATCCATGACAATCACGTGAACAGCTGACTTTAACAAATCTCACATGGCATTTTCAGATTCTTGTGCATGGATTCCGCTTGCCATTTGACGCATAATACCATTCATTTTATCTAAAATAACTACATGAGAATGACTCCCATGGAAATTAAGACGATGTGTACTTTCGACCTGAATAATAATAACATTCCAGTCATGTATAGCTAAATTACCTTTATTTTTCTGATAATGGCATACATGAAGCCTGGATTTCTGTAATACTTTGATTTTACTTTTAGTTTCATTACTAAGAGTTTTACGATATGAAACCCAGTTAAAACAAGGTAAATTTGCTTCACTTTTAGCTAAAGAATTAAGAATCTCTCTTAAGATTTTTGTTTTTCTGCTAGCAACAGGTGAGCGAATTAAAGTTGTAGTAGGTTCCTCACTCATGAAATCTGGATAAGCTTCTGGGGCATCCTTCATTTTCTTAACATTAATATTATTTCCAGATAAATCTACAAGTGGGCGTGGATTCTTTACAGCCTTGAGTAATCTTTCACATAACCCCCACTTCTTAGGTTTCTCTTTTGATTTAACTTTATCTGATACCTTTTCAAAGCTTAATCCCTTATGATTCAGCTTATATTGTTTTTGGTGATAACATTTAAGTACAGAATACCCATTTTTTCGAATAAATTCATAGAGTTGATCCTTATTATGTTTAATGTCACATATAAGACATTCTTTAACAGATTGTGCTTGAAAATTAATAAAATCATTCCCAATTTTTCCAATCTGAAGTCATCCATATTCTTTAATAACTAGATTAGCTTCTTTACTTAAAGCATTTTCATCATTAATAGGCTGAGATTCTTGTTTTACTGGTTCTTCAGAAGAAAAGGTTCGTGGCCAGATCACAAAATAATTCTCTTTAGGCTGAATCAGATAATCCTCTAGCTTTTGAAATCCATTTTTTACAGAAGAGATAGCAGGTCTTTTTATACGTTCCTCTTTTGCTGATCCAAGGAATTGAAGATTAAAATATGTTTTGGGAAGGCCATTATCAATAAATTTCGAATAAGGTTCCCCAACTAATTCCATAACTTTCTCTGTGAATTCCTTAAGTTCTCTATAATCTATGAATTGGGCACGAGGATAAATAATATGCCAACTGCATTTCTCAACATTTGATAAACTCGCTAAAGCAAAAGAATTTAAGAAAGGCGTGCAATCTGAAATAAGACTTAATGCATCTGCACAAGCAACTAAAATTCGAGATAATAAATCTTCACAAGTAATTTTTTCACTATCTAGAGAAGGATGATTAAGATTATCTGGATCAGGCTTTTATCTTGCATCAATGTTAATTATTAAGCGAAGAGGCTGATTACCATCAATATATTCATGAGTATTAGATATTCTATAAACTTCTGTAGGATGATTGATCACTGTATATCCTTTTCCTACCATCCAAATTATATATTGAGAATAAATATCTTCAGGTCAATACGCATCTAAAAGTGCAGTATTATTTTTATCAGTATGACCATTAGATGCAAGCCAGTATTTATAAAATGTATATTCTTTATGACCAGATTTATAATCAAGATTTGTTAAACCCATAAAAAGTCATTTTGCTTCATTATATTTGGCTAACTTTTGATTTAAGCACTATTGCTATAATGATTCATGAAGATATTTTTTTGCTTTACTAGACAAACTCATTTTATTGATTTGTATATATGTTATTTGTATATGTGCGTTATTTGATCTAACAAAAAGTATATGTTTTTAAAACTATATTAAATGATAGATAAATCTTTAAAATAAAATTAATTATTCTAGAAATTTTAGCTAGATGCCAAAAAAAATTATATATTTGATTGAAGTAATTATTATATATAATCGCGATGATATTATACCATTGTTCATATATTCATAGAACTGGAAAAATCTGTGGTCGATGTAGTAAATCAAAAAGATATTATATTCATCGTAATTCTCTAATACCTACTTCTTGTAGAGATTGTGGTGAGCCAAATAGATCTAAATATAATACATGCAATAAACATGTGGGAAAATATAAAAGTAAAGAGAATTATGACAGAAAAAAGCAGGATGAGTTATGTGCACAAATTACCATGTTTAAGAATTATATATCTGATTTCCCTGATTCTATGTATGAAGTCTAATCATATACCTGACATATGTATATATTGATTATTTTTTCCAGAACCTCTTTAAGTAATGTTATATTCTCTTTGATCTCATTGATATTTTTAATAATTTTATTACGTAAAGCTATAGATTTTAAAATCTTCAATCTATTCCGTATCTTGTTTGTGTCCATTTTCTGATAGAATTACAATAACCATGATCCATTCAATTTTTGGGTATAGCTATCTGCAGATAATTAATTTTGATTTGAAAAAATATTTTTTATAGTGTAAATAACCTAAAGAATTGTTCATAACCTACTTAATATTAGATCATATTAGCTATTGTAACTAAAATCATTAAAAAATACAATCTCAACAATGAGATGAGTGTATCTGAGCTCAGTAAATACACCTCAGAATTTCTTGAAAACCTTACCGATGATAGAAAATAGAATCAAGGTTGATGACGTCTTCGAGAGAGTTTTAAATTTAGCAGTGATCAGGTAAGTATATTAATACCTAATCAAAGAGGTAGTAAGGCCAAGATTATAAATGTTATCAAGGACAGTTGCAAAATAGCTATAGCTTCGCTCCCAAAAGATTTGGAAGAGGAGATTATTAGAGAGATAACTAAACGAATCTTACAGAATAGATATAGCTTTAGTAAAGATCAAGTGAATGCCTTATTCTTGATCCAGAAAAATGAAAGTAGCCACAGTGTAACTACCTCAGATAAAAATGTAAATATTGTGATTTCTAACAAACTCTTGAAAGGAATTAAGGAAGAAACTATCAGAGATATGGCGCAATGGATTTTACGGGATAAACTTAGTATTAGAGATGTAAGAGCTGAAGCTTATGCCTTAGTCCTATCAGCAAAAAATGCTAATGCTGGCTTATCACGTCTCACTTATCTTCATAGAGAATTAAGGAATCTTAATGCATCACTTGAGATAATCAAGGCTATGAAATTTTCAGATATTACAGAAGATGCTAACAAAATCCAAAGTGTCAATCAGAAAAAGGCTAAAACTAAATATATCAATTATTCAGATGAATTTATATTAGAATCGGTCAAAGAAAGATTAGACATGTATGATTTAAAAACTCTGCCCAATTATTGGGCTCTTGCTGATATCATGGTGATGCTTTGTATTCATCCTGCTGAACTTACAACTTTACATATTACAGATGCCGAAGTAACAGGATATGCAAAAAATCGGAGTTAACCAGATATTCCTAGAAAATTTAGATCTATGGAAAAGAATCAAGAATGAGCCAAAGAACTACTCACTTGAATTCAGCATGCTATATCATCTGGATGAATGGGTAATTCAGATAAGCCAGGAGTTAAATGGTTCAATAAATTCTTAAAAGATTATAATTTAATTCCTAAATACTTATGAAAAATGGGTACTATTTATGGTGTGGTAATACATGAGGCTAAGAATATAACCCACGCTTATACAATTACTAGAGAATATCTACGTCATTCATCTGATAACCATATTTTTCCTGTGCAAAATTATGTTATAGTCAATTACAGGTCTCATGGATTTAGTGCTGAGAAGGCAAGACCTTTCTGAATCTATGATCAAGATGAATAAATTGGTGATTTTATAATTAAACTAATCAATTTTTATTATGTATTGTTGGTTTCTACAAATTCCCAATGATACCCTCCAGCATAAGTTTGAATTCCACAATATACTAGACTAATTCTGTTATGATTAATTCCAGTTGCGTGATATGCTTCAGTTAAAGATGAAAATTCTTGAAAAGATCCATCAGCAAAAATCTGTTTAATAGCATGTTTATTAGAGTCATTATTGCAAAGTTCAAGACGAACAGCATGTTGTATATTTTCTTTTTGTGTGCACCATTCAAGATTCAAAGCTTTATTATTAGTTGGATTCCCATCGATATGGTTCACATAATCTTTACCTTGTTCTTTTGAGGAAAAAGCTAATGCTACTAAATGCTGTATCATATAACTTTGTAATCCTCTACCAACTTTAAGATATCCCATTAGCAATGATCCTTGTATAATCATACCATTTACTGTCTGAACTCTACCTAAAGATGATACCTTAAATTTTTCTGAATCAAACTCTATCTCCTTCCATTCTTCATTAGAATCAGGTTTTGTATATTTTTCATAATACATCCAATACCATCCTCCAGCAGAATTTCGTTTTTTGTTATAATACATTGAAATGGCACTTTTATGAATATTAAGTGTATCTTGTACAAGAGAAAGCAAATTCCAAATCTGAATAACATTACCATCTAATCCAACTTGTATAACTTTTCGAGATCTGCTACACCCAGAATTTGGAAATATTTTACGATTATTATTTTCTTTAGAAGTGACCCATTCCAAATTATCTGCTTGATTATTAGTCTTAATACTATTAATATGATTAACAAAATGTTTATTCTCTAAATTAGAAATGAATATCTCTGCAACTAATCTATGAAAATAAGATTGATTACGAGCTCTATTAATTTTAATATCTGCTCGTATATAATCTCCTCAGGTAATATATTCCTTTACAATTACATATTTTTCATTTTTAATATGTCCAAAATTAGAAATAAAATAATTTGAATTTGCTATAGGTAATCAAATCTCCATTTCAATGTTAACTATATATTATTAATATATTTTCAAATTCAGATTAAGACCTCATAGGATTATCACCCATACCTAAAAAAGAGGAGTTCCTTATGAGCAAGCAAGACAATTTCATATTTATGATCAAGATTAATTGTACTTCTTCACTTTTACCATATCTACAGTAAAATCTTCATTATCATAAGAGGATTCAGAATTGGACCCAGATGAAGGTGAGGATAAGAACGAAGATGCTGTATCATTTAAAAATCTCTTTTTTCTTTTAGCCTTAGATGGTATACGATTTCTTCAAGAAATATCTGGATTTGCTATTAAGTCAATAATCTCTAGCCCAATCTCAGGTTTTACTATTTCCATTAATTGGTGAAGAGAAATTGAAATTCTTCTATGTGATATCTATTTAATAATACCAGATATTGCTTTATCAGTAATATATGCCTTGGCACTAGCTTCACTATTGGGTAAACTTTTATCTTTTTCAAAACCCAATTTTTTCGCAATCTCATAAGTGATAATTGGACATTCTGAATCCGAATCACAAACTACTTCTGTATCCCTATTATTGATCAATATTGATAATTTTTTCACTGATTCTATTAGTGATACAATTTCATTATCATTCTCTTGTAAATTTTGATGAGCCGGTCCAATATTGCTATTAACTTCAGTCATTATAAATGCGAAATTATTATTTATTAATATGAATTTAAAAATGCAGAATTAAATATATTATTATAATAAAACATCACGATGAGAATTTTATCTTGCAAAATTAACAAAGTACCAGTTAAAACTATACTAGATACCGCTAGCAATTGTAATCTTATAGGTAGGGGTTTAGTAGATGTACTAGGCTTAGAGATTGATACTTCTCATAAAGAAGAAGCAAAACTATTAATCTCTTTTCCATCTGAAAAATCACCAAATAATTTAGATGCAATATCATCTTCACGTTGTGAGACTATAGAAGATAGCATACCAATATTGGGAATGGTTCATAAAATAAACACCTCTTTCTGGTCTAAAGATAATAACTGGAAACAGATAGAAGTTAATGATATTTTAGTTTTTAATAAACCCGAATTTGCACATGTCCTGTTATTAGGTTCACCATAGATTCAGGCAAATATAACTGAAATGAATTTTCCCAATCATACTCTCACATTGCTTAATAGAACTGATGTATTATTGGATATTCCACGAGAGTTCCCGCCATCAAAACAAATATCCCTACCAGTAAAAGAATATTATAAGATGGTAGAATATTACATAACAGCATTGAGAGTAAATAATAACAAAATTTACCTTAAGGAACACTTCCTCTATGGATTGTCTCATAATAATCAGTTAGAAGCCAGAAGATGTGGAATGGACTTGTCATTAGATGAGCTGGTTGCAAAGTTAAGCGTGGTTGAGAATATCAGAAAAATAAATGATATATGTACCTAAATTAATTATCCAAGCATTGATTTTTTCCATTAAAGATATATAATAATAGATTACTTGAGAATGGTGTAACTGAATATATTTGATTTACCAGAATTGCTAGAACAGATCTTATATTTTTTAAAAATTAATTGATCCCTCTATCTTGCTTTATTTGTCAATCACCTTTGGTATCACTGCAGTGCTCCTATTCTATGGCGAGATATTGATTTTTTCATAGATTGTCAAGGAAATACATATAATAATAATTCATCTGGAGATCTTTATTGGCAATTATTGAAGTTTAAAAGAGTTATGTGTGGAAAGATAAAGCCACTCTATTGTTCAAAGATATTATATCTTAGTTTGGAAGGTTTAAAAATCTCGGATACTTTGATCAGTGTAATTCTGCATTTATGCCCAGATATACGCTTTCTTATTCTTAATCAAAGTTATAGTTTTACTAATATACCAATTATAGAAATTGCAAAATTTTGTCCAAAATTAATACACTTAAGTCTTAATTCATGTATATGTCTCACTAATTGATGTATCACTAAAATTACTCACTCGTGCCAAAAACTTAGACATCTTGAGCTTGATGGTTGCTCGATTAATAATAAAGCTATTGAGGAAATAGCCCACAATTGTACTAATTTGAAATATCTTAGTTTGAAGGGATGTAAAGGGGTTAGCGAAGAAGTGATGAAAAAACTTAATTCTAAAATTAAAATCGAATACCCTAATTATTCAGATGGAAAATGGTCTGATTCTGATCTACCTCTACCTATTCTAATATTTACCAATATATTATTAGATAAAATAGATTTCATTTTCACATTCAGTAATTGTATCAGAGAGATTGGTGAAATTAATCTTAATTATTCATGATTTACAAATAATTTTATGTAGTAGCAGAGAATGGATAATTATTTATCGAGTTATTTTTTCAGTTATAATATATATCATTAAATAATATTTGACATGGTTTTCATAAAACAATCATAAAGGGAAAAATCCCAGTAAAAGTATTAATCGATACAACATCTAAATCTAATATTATTAGCAAGTGCTTGTATAATAAGCTTGAAGAAGATTATGGGTTAGAAGATATATCTGATGATGATTTGATAGGCAAAGAAATAAAATGTTTAGATTTGTAATTTTGATATAAAGGAAAGTGGCGAAGCTTAGATGGTACTGAAGTAATAGATTTTCAAATTCGCAAAAATCCATTATTTGATTTGATGCTAGAACGGAATTGATTATAGATGCACGAAGTAAAAATTAGCTTTGGATTTTCTCTGAAAAATTGTAAGCGCTATGCTAAAATTGAGATAGATGGTATGAGTATCCCATTAATCGAAGAAGATAGCAGATCTACAGGTAACTCTTTAAGTCATAAAGCCAGCTCCACTAAAAATAACTTATCTATTACAAAGCAATAGGACTTTGTCCCTAAATCAACAGAATCTAAACCTGGTCTAGCTCAAGAGGAGATTATAAACATAATCAACAAAATTCTCTCAGATGCTCAAGATATTAAACATCAAAAGAGCCATCGCGGAATATTTCATAATATATCTCCCGCATCTCCAATACCCAGAAGATTAAATGATGATATTTCCAAAAATAGCAGAGCTGGTAAGATTAAGAAATATCCTAAAATAGATTTAAGTGATGGGGATGGAAAGCTTTCAATAAAAATACATCTCAATAATATTTGGAAGTCGGTTCATTCTATAGAAAATGATATAGAGTATGGAGTTTTTGAAAAACTTTGTATTATTGAGTATGAACTAAGTTGTATAAATAAAGCAAAGCTATCATGGATAAAATCTGAGACAGATCCTTCTAAATCATCCAGCTCTGATTCAGAATCCACGGATTCAGACTGGTATGATCTCGATCAGATAAATCTCTGAAAGAAGAGGCAGAGCCTCAAATCTCTGATTCATCATGTTCATGTTAAAAAGAAAAAGGTTGTTTCTTCTATCCAAAAATATCATAAAAATAAGCTTCGTAATAGGACCTATTCTCTAGAGTAGTGGTCCATCCAATCAGAATAATTAAAAATCATTAATGGTCAGAAATTTATTAACCAATCATATCATGGGTAGGATCAGTATAGAAGTTCATGGAACATGCTAATAAAAGCCTGTGGTCTCATATTAACTTATATTTACACTTTCACCATTACTATTTGGATTGAATTTTGATAAGCATCCCAGCATTTGAGATGATAGGTTTTTGTATTAACATAATCTCCACTACCCCATTCACCCTCTACATTATATCTTATATTTTCTTTTTTATGATACAGAATAAGTAAAGTAATCACTATATCCAGTTTGAGCAATATAACAATTTATGAATAAGCTATGCATATAATCAATTTTATTACACATGATGCTAAGTCATTGTATTCAGCCATGTAAAGATTTATAAGGTTAATCAAGATTAAAGATTTTTCTATCAATAAACTCTCTAAATTTATATATTTTCTTAGGAATAGTGACTTCTGGATTTTCATCATACCATACTTCAAGAAGATAGATCCCATTAAGTTGACAAAGGGTTCTTTTCTTTCGATCACGGTTAACAATATCCTCGAGTTTTTTGACATCTTTATACCAGCTAGTGTTATGGAGCCGATGCTGAGCTCCTTGCACCTCTAATGCAATTCGATTACTTCGGAAGAAGGCATCAAGTTCTAATCCTTCCATAAAAGATGGACGATATTCAACTACGGGTTCCTCATTAAGAAGTATCTGGGCTATTAGAATACATTTTTCCTGAAATTTTCGATTTTTCTTAGATTCTAATTCTTTTTTAAGTTCATCTATATTCTGTTCTAATTTCACAACTCTAGCTCTAAGTTCAGCGTTCTCAGCAACAGTATCTGTCCTATTTTTCTCTAACTCATCGATTCTGCTCTTGAGTTCGGTGTTCTCTTCCATAGCCTGTCTTCCGTATTTTTTATACAAAGCATAGATCTATTCAAATTTCGATTTATGAGTTAGTACGTACACATTGATATCCATGCAATAAAGTATGTATAGATATCGGCATATAATCTTTTTATTATTCCGATGTGCATACACGAGTTAAAAAACATAAGCCTTAAATGCGGACAAACTTTATTATACTAAAAAAATAACCACGACTATATTATAAGTAGATGAGAAACTTCCTATACCCGATAGAATATACATGTATATAACTGATAATTTCAGCATCACATTTGTATTCAACCGTATTTATACGTATAAGGAAATCACTACCGTAAATGGCCATATAAAAGGCCCGGGGTATATTGTTCAGAAACTGGAGGGTTTTTTGTTTATCTTAAATTATTAGTAAAAGACCCGGGTCTCCTAAATTCTCAGATATGGGTATAATAGAGCCCGTGATTGATGCATGGAATAAACACAATGTTAACCTAACCTTTATGACTGCAATCAATCAAAATTCGGAATTATCACGTGCCAAGATTTCGGATATATAAATACAAATCTTTTTTTTCTAAAATAATTCCCTCTTACAAGGTCATGTCAAATTCTTCGAAGCAGAACATGCAAAAGAAGCTACAATGATATACCAAGAAGTACTTCATCATAATGAACCTTATCTCAGTTGTTGTTGGTATCAGAAGTAGTGGTGGTTTCTTCATCAATCAGAAATATTTTATAAATAAGTAAAGGGTAGACGTATTTAGCAAGTAAAGTGTGGGATATATATTTTTTATGCTATGACGCGATATATAAAGTTGGGGCTTAGTGGAAGTCATCGTCTTTCAGTTTCCCTGTTCACAAAAAAAGCTTCACTTTATATTTTTCTATCCTGTCATTCATTCGAGTGGGACATGTATAAGGAGAGAAGATGGCATATACTTGGTCGGTAGTATACATGATCGTGATCCATTTTATAAATCGACATCTTGGAATTAGTAAATGCAAGTTTGTAATCTCAGTTCGCGATTTCCTTTCTTAATAAAACCGTAAAAATTCAAGATATTACATGTACAAAAAGAAAATATCCCATAGGTTTATTTGCGCAAAAATAAATTGCATGAGCGTACACAGAAATAAAATTCTCAGGTTTAACGGATTTTCCAGAACATTCCATAAATATAGAGCGTTAATTAATTGTTATTCTGTTTTCTCAATACTAACTGCTGAATGCTGTATAGATCAATATTAAAGTTATTGGCATTTATCGTATTAGGAACCATCTCAACATATCCAGACACAACCAGAACTCCCGCAATGATCGGTGGGTTCCAGAATACATCTGACACTGGAATGCTAACTTGGTAGGCAGGAAGGTTTGGTGCATTGCACCCAGTTGCAACCTGAGATCCTTTCTGAAGAGTCCCAAAATCCCACACTCGGAATCCTCTCACTCCTTGGCGCCAGAGCTTAGCCTATACTCAAAAAAAACTTTTAAGTACAGAACCGCAAAATAATGAAACATGTGAGCAAGACATACCGTCATCGACCGATGATATTGTCCTTGTGAGTTCTTTATAGACCTTTTACCGTGAATCTTAATCCCAAACACGCATCGCACGTATTGCTGACGCATCCAACGCTGGCACTTAATCTCCCAGACATTGGTGTCTTGATACAAAGCCACCTCACATACTATCCTTGCATGTGGGTTTCCCTGTGAAATATATTAAAACGAAAACAATAAAAATTATACACCAAATCAAAAAACTTACAATTTTATCACTAGGAGGAGGTCCGGGATACGGAAGAGTAGGTTTCGGAATATAAGCCTCACTTGGATACACGGCAATGTCTGGTGCAATCTTTTCTCCATTTCCAGATGGACAATAGTGAACTATAGGATGAATGCGAAACTATTAGAAAATAGATTACAAGCCAAAGATCAGACTGGAAGGAATTTACTTACATGGTTGACCAATAATATCTATTGGAGGATTCAAGATAATACCACCGTTGGGAAGATTTAAATATTTTTGTAGTAGCGCAACAACAAACTCATGTTCTCCATCAGCCATATCAATAATGAATACGTCGCCGTTATCTCTTAATTGGAATTTGTATCCAGATGACTCACAGCGGTCAAGGAAAGCGTTGTAGTGTTCAACTGATACGTTTGAACCAATTTGAAGAGGCAACCTGCAATAAACCCAGTTAACACTTAACAAATATTAAAAAAATAACGTGCGTGATGTTTACCCACATATTTTCATCGAACGGTTCGTCCGGTAATTGGGGAACCTTTAAACGTGCTGTATATTGAAAAGACATTCAGAATTAAACTCTTGATTGGCGTAAAATTTCATTTATCATGTTATACAATTATTACGTAATTGTCGATCAAAAATTTATACTTGCTTCGAACGAAACCCTTGATACAGATATAAACGAATTCGATAATAAAACCAGAAATTAAAGCAATCAAAAAAAAGATTCCGGTGATAGGTAAGAACTAAGTGATGCAAAAGAAGAGGCTTTGGATCATTTATGCAATTAGAAAGGTGAGTAGGTGGACGAAATGTACATACTATAAGTCCACCAAAAAATATGAAAAATCCTTCGACCATAAAAATCACAGCTCCAACAACAATGGCTGTTATGATGATCCAATATATGAAAAAGATAATCGGAATGCTGACGAAGGTGGCCACCAGATATGTGAACCAACGAACAAAAGGTTGGGGATCAGGCATTTTATCAACAAATTTATAAAAGTAATATGGGTCTGGAGCAAGTTAGAATCCGAAGAGAAAAAATTTTTTTGTAGAAAACTTGTGGTTTATATAGAATCAATCGTTACGTAGGCTAATATGAAATGACTACGTTACGTAGGCTAATATACTGATGACTGGCGCAATTTATCATGCGGTCACACGTCAATCATCTATATTACTCTAAAAAAACGCGCTTCTATGCTTAATAGATCCTAATGTTTTCTTGGATCTTCTCTGTCTCTTTTTATTTTGTTCGTCAAGTACTTCTTCTCTAGGTGATGATACCGTGGTACTTTTTTCGACGCGATGTGTCTTACTTGTGGGTACTTGCATTAACAGAGATAAATTAACGATCAGGATATTCTATTTAAAATAAAATTAGTTTTGATATACGTATAAATGAAATTTGGTGTACTAATATAAATACCCGTAAATTCAGCAATAACTCAACAAATTCAGGTAAAGTTGATAAGGCTTGTTCGGACCACTGTATGGGAATTTGTGTTTTTTTCAGATGATAATATCGATGTGTATCAAGGTTATCCCTAATGAGTACATTCAACTGGATCTCGGTCCCTATAATATCATACCTTGTTATTAAATCGGTAAACAATGGACTAGAGTTCTAAAATATTCTTATCGCACCAAAACTTTACCTGCTACCTGAATTCCCACAATCCCAAATTGATCTTTTTCCGGTTTACAGCCTTGTCGTATCCAAAACATACCATCGTTTGTTTCCCTCCATAATTTTATTTCGTCTTCCCTTTTCTTGGTATCGCTACATAATAAACGTGAGCATTCGCCAAATACAAGCTCAAATATCTTACCTTCCCGTTTTTGTAAATACATGAAATCTGGCCGTTTTCCAAAATATCCATCCCCTTTCCTATCCGCGCTGGCAATGCTTTGTCGCTCCGCACTATAATAAATTTCTGAAAACGTGACTTTGATAGTGATAAATATAATACTACTTAAATAAAACGACTTACGTGCTGATAAATGCAGATTGCCTATATGGTAGCCCTTTCAACGATGCCCGAATCGAAGGGATTATTACATCTGTTACATACGTTCCCTCACTTTGTGTTTTCATAAGTTCCGGTCCAAATGCTGGATTCATCCAAACATCGGCCCTATAATCAAAAATATTATTAATTTAAGGATCTTAGAAACTTCGTCCATTTTGAAAATTACTTACACTACATCAAGAATATCCTGTGTAACTCCTATAAGGGTTTCATCCGACTCTTTCCATTTCCCATTATGCGTAAGTTTTATACATAAGTCGTCAGTATATTCTTCTGAAAACCCTGATACGAACTCATGGCATTTATCTTGGATCGAGTCTGGGAGTGTGACGACCATATTACGTGCTGGTTTCTGTTATGGAACAATTTATATAATTAAAACGTTAATTATGGCAAAGAAAACAAGCAATTCTTACCATAAAATTTTGATGCTGTTTAGGTGACAACTTTTCTACTACGATTGAATCATCACTTATGACTCGACTGGCTAGAGGATCTTTCCAGGTTAGGTTTGTAATGGAAATGTTTTTCACGTTTTGATAAAGTTCTACAGAAAGGGGAGATGAATCGCCCGAAAGCCTCCCTTGTAAATATCTTATATTTTTCTTTATCGTATCGTCATCAAGGAGAATTTGTTCACCCTTTACAAATGTATATTAGTTTATTTTCATAGATATTATTATAAAATTAATCCATCATACCGTATTCAACGCCTTGATATCACGTAGGCTACAGACAGTTTCATAGGCACATTCGAACTAACGCAGAATAATATTATGTTAGTCTAACTTTGTAATATATGTATTATCAACCCCATTTGCGCGCGCTATCAGAACTATCATAAAGTTGCCATCCTTGTTCGGCCGCCACAAGGACGATAACTTATCTAAATATAACTCCACAGAGACGAAACGCCCTTCACTACGTTCGAAGTCATAACTTGTACTTGTAGGCTCAGGCATTTATTTTAACTTTGTCAAGTAATGTCTGCGTTGTCATCATATGTATGAAAAAAATGTCTAAAAAAAAAGAATAACTAACCTCTAAAGGAATATTGGAAATCTTTCTAAAGCGTTCAGAATCTTCACCAGCAATATTTTTCATGGACCGAATTGCGTTAATCGTCAACTTTAAGAGCTCATCTTTTGATATTGTTTGGTCTTCTTCTGTGCCTTTATAAATTACCGACCCTGCTGTAATATGCTTTACTGGTCCATCTTTCATAAAGTCCAAAATTTTATTGAATACAGTAGTCGACATATTTTAGTTGCAAAAGTTTTTGAGTAGAATGTTAGTTTGTAAAGAATTCACTATAAAGCGACGAACAACCACAACGTAATTATACTGTCCTTTTAAAACGTTCCCTCCGCTCATTTCTGGTCTCATTTAGGTATGGGAATGGTAGATTTAGGGAATGTGGAACTGGAGCGATGCAAATGCATGACGAAAAAACTTTTCACAAAGAAAATACGTATGTCATGAGTTGGACAATCGGATTTGGAATTTGTGGCAACAATTAACGATTACATCATGCATGAAAGTTCCACGACCTTCGATTTTATTCTGTGGTATACTCTGCTGTGTTACGCAATCGATTTCAGGTCACACGATTATTACTTTGTAATGAGCTTCGCTCTACATCATGCATGAAAAGTTCCATGACCTTCGATTTTATTCTGTGATAAATGTATTACGGAGTAATGTGCCTAATCATTATCTGTATTATGTAATCGATTTTTCAGACATGTGATTTTATTTCGAAAGAGCCATTCTTTCTCCCAGTAATTGATTTTACGTGTGGTAATAAGGGGTGTTTTCATTTGGAATAAATCATCATTATGAGATATGCAAATCAGGAATTATCACAAGAGACTAAGCTAATTCCATCGCTGTTTTGTGAAATTAATACCAATCTTCACCCCATCTTCTCGCAATTTTGCTCGAAGCCAGATGATTGTGCTATCTATATATGCAGGATAGCTATATAATCTTTTTTCGAATATATGAGAAAAAAGACTGAAATCATCTACAATTACCTGTATATATTGAGCAATTCTGAGTTGAAGTAATTAATTTGTGAATAAATCGATTGCTAAATCTGAAATTAGCTTTTATAATATCTGAAATTGATTTGTTAGTCGCGATGAGTATGATATATGTGCTTATTGTGGAACAAGCTCCTTTAGAATGACTCTTCGAGTCATGAGCTTCACTCTGGTACTAACTCTGTTATAAAAATGAGATAAGTATATGGAAAACTTATGTGTCAGAGATACTAGCTTCACTATACACCTCACTATGATTGCTAATATCTCATCTCTTGAATCCCTTGCATTAAATATCTTACGAAATTCATTCTCAGAAAAGATTGCAGGTGTGGATGTTCTGGAACTAGATCTATGCTCATTATGCAATCAAGAACTTTTTTTGTATAAAATAAAAAATCCGATTACCATACTTATCTGCAGTCATATATATCATCGCGATTGTATCAAAAATTCTATCAAAAAACATTCAATATGTCCAAGATCGGATTGCGAGAAGGAGATAAAAATTATGATCGAGAGCACACCTGGAAGTCTATATATCACCGATCCAATGAATATATCTTCAGATTTTACAATATTTCAAGATACACCCCAGAAAAAGTGTGTTGGTGAATCCGCCAGTAAACTATCTAGTAAGAAAGCGAAGAAGCAAGTTTCAAAAGAAGATTTTCCTATATTAAAAAAACTTATTGAGGAATTGACATCAACGATACCTGAAAATTCTGAAAAAGTAATAGAAGTTAACAAAAGCACCAATAATTTTTTGTATCATTATAGCAAAATTATGCAGACTGAATCTAAAAGTGAGATAGCAAGTAGGGAAGTTATTGAAAGTTATTTTAACTTTGATGAAGCTATGAAAAAATGTTTCGATTATTACAAGAATCTCAAACATGGGGAATGAGCTTGCTTGGCTCTTGTTAATGATGAAATCAGGAAATAACTTTCCAATAATATCACCAATGATGCATTGAAAAAAAGAAAAGAGAAAGCGGGAAAAATATATGATTTATTTGTTAGTATTGGTAAAGAGAAAATAAGAGATATTAGATCATTTTCAGCATTAAACATTTCAAACTTAAGTTAAGAAAATATTGATTATGTGATAGTTGAAGTTTTAAAAAAGGAAAATAGAATATGAGCGTTACTGTACCATATTACTGCACCAGTGACATCGATGTCACGTCCAAATTTATATATTAATAAAGTTATTAAATGACCTGATTTTTTATAGATCTGAAGGGTTATGATTCAGAGAATTGCCTATGGCCTGCTTTGCAATAAGCTTTACCGCTATTTAACTCATACGTCTACTGAAACATGTAGTGTCAAAATAAACTAACATCTATCAATTTATTAATTGTTGTCAGTTATCCGTTATCTAACAGTTAACCTACCTAATCGCACGTAAAAATAAATCAAAATTTTTGATTGGTCTCATCGTATATGTCACTTGCAAATATGATGAATATCACAACTCATCTAATAACCCAGGCCCTATAGGGCGCTCTTCAAGCATTAGTACTAAAATTGAATCGCATTATTCTAGAGTATAAAGTTATTAATGAAACTAGTAAGGCTAAATCAATATCCTAAATTCAATATAAATCATTAATTATGTCAGGTCTTATTATTACAACTATTATTGATAAAAAAGCTAAATCAATTAAGCTCATTAATAATCATCCTGGATATGATATGAAATATGTAAAGTCATATATCTACAATTATTGTGGAATTAATGATTATCAATGATACTTTGATGATCTTTATGAGACTAAAAGATGATATGATACTTTATCAGTTATTCGACCTGATGAAACTTCATGATAATGGGCTATTTGGATCAGAGTTCCTTTACAAGAGTTGGTTTCTGAAAAGAAAAGAAGTATATATCATGTACATTGTTTATTTGGTAGATTTGGGAATTCTAAGCTAATAAATCATGATTACTACAGGCCTAGAATCCATAAATCCAATGTAGTGATATGTTTAGATTGTATGAAACTTATACATATTGATAATGTAAAATCAAAGAAATTATTCCATTTTACCAGAAAAAGATATATCAAAATTATCGAGCCAGATGATTTGATGCAGAAACATTGGGATCATGAGTGTGATAAACCTAAATCTCGAGATGGATATGCAAGAATTATACAAAGAGTATTTTGCTGATTCCAAGAAAAAGAGCTATCAAATGCATGACTTGCATGGAATAACTTACTGAATGATAATACTCCAGATGATAAAAAGTTTTTAGGCATAACTTCACAAAAAATAAAAAACCCAAATTCTCTAGATCAATTAAAAACACGTCTTAATAAGGAATATGCTGAGTATATAAAAAAATATAATAGATATCTGTATAAAGCTGAATTTGAAATTAGTATGTATCAGGAATATATTATTCTATATGGTTGGATAAATCATAAAAAGGAACAATTGTGATATAGATTTAGTAATTGTCTCTAACAATTAGAAATATAAATACATATATCTATTTATTCGATTAATATATCTATTTAAAATAAACTTTATTTCGTTATCCCCAAGGGCTGATAACATTTTTTACTTTAGTTTTTATATACAGTTATTTTACCTGACACAAAAAATCTCTTGATACAAATAAACTATAGAATTTATTTATTTTTTCAATATCTACTCCAACTTCAATCAGGCTGGATACTGATAGCTATTTCATTTAAAAATAGTAGCGAATAAGATACTGAAAACATCCACACCAATTCCAAATCGACTGGCTACAATCATCTTATCAAAAAGTGGTGGGTGGGATATATTTATATTACTGTATTAATAAATAATGAAAAAAATAATTATTATCTCATTACCGTAAAATATGCTACTCATTAGAAAGATCAAGAGGTTGGTCTCATCCTTTGCGAAGATATAGAGGGTCTTCTTTTGCTCTAGTTAAATCGATAACAATAAAATCTCTACCTTGCAAATTTTTATCAAGTATGTCGACAATATCATGCCATTTTTTTATATATCGTCAGATAATGTTAACCAGCTCATCATATGTACCACTACTATTAAAGAGGACTATATAATCGAGATTGTTTCTTATTAATTTGGGACAGTCAAAGAAAGATTGTGTTATGTATATACTAGAAATATTACGATGCTTCTCTTCAGCAAAATAACACACAATTTTTTTCTGGATTTTTTTAGGTTCGGTACATACATCTTCAAATATAGTTACTGTTCCTCTCTCAGAAGAAAAGTCATCAACCTTTGGTATTTTATCAGGTTTCATTGCTCAGAATGTAACATCTTCATGATGTGATTTGGAACTATTTGCAATTATTTTATAACAATCTTGGAGATGTTTATACTTGAGCTCATTAATTTGATGACTGATCAAAACCAAATTATCATTTTTAATATATCTCGTTCCACTTTTTTTCTCACTAAATAATCGATACATTTTATTTCCAAGTAAAAGATTGATAACTTCGTTAGTTTTTCCTGATCTTGTTCACCCCAAAACTAATAAATTGAAAGGTCATTGAGGGGAACTATTTAATGAGTTAAATCTTTCTGGGTTTTTGTATTCATCAATATTTAAAACTATTCTCTCAACAGGATCTAGCTTTTCTATTTTCATTCTGGTTAAAATAAGCAATACTAATTATTATATCAAAAAATATTAATCGAACCAGATAAATATTTAAAGTTTTACTTTATTCTATAAGACCTAGTTCTTGAAGAATATCTGGTATTACTTTATACGGATCTTCAAAATACCAAATATATCTGAGGGTAATCCAATTATCTTCACATAGTTCTGCCTTAAGCTGATCTCGGATCAATTAATTATCAAAACCTTTTAAAGTTTGATGAAAATGCTTAATGTAATGCTTATGTTGCTCTCCTTGTACTTCAATTGCAAAATCATATTGCGGATAATAAATATCAAGATGTAGTCTGACTGGATGTTCTGAAGTTTTAAGAAAATTGGGTTGACGTATCTTAGATAGCGGTCCAAGATATTTTGATATAATCTCTCAACACAAATTTTCTCGCTTGTACTTCAAACAGTGAGGACACCATATATTATCATTTTTTACATGAGAAAGCGTAGCATATCATTGATGATTTTTATTGCATCTCCAGAGTAACTGACTCTTGCAATCAATATAAGAATCTGACAAACATTTCCCATCTCGACTATATGCAATATCTTTA